GCATATCATGCTTCATACAGTCTCAGAGCTGGTCCCATGTTGAGAGATCAGCTTATATATCACCTGTCTTGTAGTTTTGGGTGTTTTTTGGTGGGGAGGATGTTTCTTTCTTTACATCAGCAGTCAAGATTTTCAGGAGGTCTCCCCCCAGTGAAATCTGGTCTTTATTAATCTGAAGGAATCCATAGCTTTTTGTTTCCTGTGGCAGGCAGATCTCTGTGAGTTCGAGGCCGGGCTGGACCGATAGCCTCCAAAACAATACAGAGAAACCTGTCTCATAAAAAACAAAACAAACAAACAAACAAACAAACAAACAAAAACACACACACACAAAAAAAAAAAGAAATAAAGGGACCAGACCCTCACTCAGCCCCCTGCTTTAGCAGCCATGACCAGCTATAGAAAAGACACGTAGGCCTCTGACACAAGGAAACTCCAGATCCTCTGGCCTCCCAGCCTCCTAGATGCTTGGTTCCTGGGAACTGTTTGGCCACAAAAGAAACTCCAGGGGAGACCAAAACCTCCCCTATAGTCTCCAGGATATAATTCTGAAAACTGTTGGTATCTATGTGCAACAGGCCACCTGCAAGTAAAAATACAATGCCATAGAAACCACAGAATGTTCCCTCTCAGCACTGACCCACGAAAATAATTGGTACACAGGTATTTCATGCCAAAATATGACTTTGAGAAATTCTCCTGATTGTTCCCAAATGTCAGCCAATCAGAAACCAACCCATACCTACCATTGTAATCCTGTAACTTTTGTCTATAAAACCTAGCAGTAGACCGGGAACTTCATTCCCTCTAGGGGGTTCTGGGACAGCTAGCCAGACAGGGTCCCTGTCATGGGTGGATGAACAATCATTAAGCCTTTCTTTTGCAGTTTAGTGGGTCTGTCTTCCTGGTGGTCTGTGGGGACTTTGCAAATTGGGCACAACACCCATCACAACACATTTCCTGACTTCCATTCTAAAGACTTCTTTAAAATATATAGGCTAGTTTAATTCAGTAGGCTTTTTTATTGTTGTTTTTACAATTTAATATCTCTCAACAGCTGCAGTTTTTACTCATTGATATTTAAAAAAAAATAAAGTCAATACAATACCATACAGGATCCAGGCAACCTGTGTCTTTCTTTCTTTCTTTCTTTCTTTCTTTCTTTCTTTCTTTCTTTCTTTCTTTCTTTCTTTCTTTCTTTTAAAGATTTATTCATTTTAGCCGGGCATTGGTGGCGCACGCCTTTAATCCCAGCACTCAGGAGGCAGAGGCAGATGGATCTCTGTGAGTTCGAGGCCAGCCTGGTCTAAAGAGTGAGTTCCAGGACAGCCTCCAAAGCCACAGAGTAACCCTGTCTCGAAAAACCAAAAAAAAAAAAAAAAAAAGATTTATTCATTTTACAACATTCTGCCTCCATGTATGCCTGCACGGCAGAACAGGGCACCAGATCTCATTACAGATGGTTGTGAGCCACCATGTGGTTGCTGGGAATTGAACTCAAGACCTCTGGAAGAGTAGTCAGTGTTCTTAACCTCTAAGCCATCTCTCGAGCCCCCAACCTGTGTGTTTCTTATCCTTACGTGGTTTATTATTTTTTTATTACCTTCTCTTTGTTTAAAGACTTTTTATTTAAAAAAATTTTATTATTATCTATGTCCATGGTTTTTTCTGCCGCTCAGCACATTTTAAAGCATATTGTACCTACTCAGAGTTTTTTCAGCCTCAGCCTGGCCTTTTTTCCTTTTTTCTTTTTTCTTTTTTTTCCACATTTGCAGCATTTTTCTGACATGTGAGTCAAATCATAAATGGCTAGGTGGCGGCTAGGCTAACCACTCTGGGGTTCCGCTTAGCACAGGGTGCTGACAGCTGTCTCTGCCCCCCTTCAGGTCCATGATAGCTGAGCCTTATGCCTGTGGATACTTCCCATGGGTACTGACCAGGAGCCACATTTACTTGCCCGTGTTCTGGGATACTGCTGGGTTCCTGTGAGACAGGCATTATTACTTAGTCTTCCATTCTATCTAGTAGTGCTCCAGCTACCCAAGTGCTCAGCTGTACAGCAGTGTGAGCACTGAGCCTGCCAGGAAACCACGTCTAACTCTGTGTTCGGAACTTTTTTTTCAGTTTTCTCAGGTCCTACGTGGATATATGTGCCTCATGTTGGGCAACAAATGTAGTTGGCCTTTTTGGTTGGACTCTATTTGGGACTTCCAGCTCCTCAATAGTAACATAGAGACTTAACATTGGTGATCATGAAAGCTTGGTGTCTTGTTTAAATTGTTTTGTTTTGTTGTTTTTTTTGAGACAGGGTTTCTTTGGGTAACAGCCCTGGCTGTCCTAGAACTCACTCTGTAGACCAGGCTGGCCTCAAACCCATTGAATCCTCTTGCCTCTGCCTCCCGGGTGCTGGGATTAAAGGTGTGCACCACCACTGCCAGGCTAGTTTGGATTTTTACTGCTCTGAAGAGACCCTGTGACCACAGCAACTCTTACAAAGCAAACAGTAAATTGGGGTGGTGGCTTACAATTTCAGAGGTCCAGTCTGTCATGAGCAGGATGGAGAGCATGGCCGCATGCAGGCAGATTCGGTGTTGGAGCTGAGAGTCCTACATCTTGCTGAGAGTCCTACATCTTGCAGAGAGTCCTACATCTTGACTCCAAAGCAACGGGAAGTTGACTATCACACTGAGTGAAGCTTGAGAAAAAGACTTCAAAGCCCACCCCCACACTGACACACTTTTTCCAACAAATTATGCCTTCTCCAACAAGGCCACACCTCATAATAGTGCCATTCTCTTTGGGGTCCATTTTCTTTCAAACCACCACACTTAACCTTCAGCTTAGGCTTGTTTCCAACTAGCTCTTACAGCATAAATAGTATGTTCTACTTACTCCCTCTGTGTCTTGCTGACATCTCCCCGATTCCTAGGGTCTAACCCCTCTGAGTTCCTCTCTCTTCCTGGAAGTCCCACTTAACCCATCCTGGCTATGTACTGGCCATTCAGCTTTTTATTAAACTAATCACAGTGGCACATCTTCACACAGTGTAAACAAACATCCTACAACAGATATCCATGTATGCACTTATCCCATCTCTCACCCCAACTCAGGGTGACCCAGGGAAATTAGGATCAGAGATTCACAAGTAATCAACAGAACAAAGGAAATTCCTTGCACTTATAAACTTTAAAGGAGAGGGATCCCTGGCTAAAAGGGATGGGTCTCTGAGCTTCACCAGTAGTAAAAGTACTAGAAGGTTATGAGGCCATATTTAGGAAATAAATCCAATTGTAACATTCTTGGAGCTGTTACAAACTAGGAGCATCTTAGGGTGAGTTCTAGATAGGATATAAGCTTTGGCTGATGCCCTGTACTGGACCAGCATTTGTTAACTAACCTTATAGACTTTTGACTCACATATATTTTTAAAGAAATGAAATGGGGCTAGAGAGACGGCTCAGACTTTAAGAGCACTTGCTGCTCTTTCAAAGGACTAGAGTTTGATTCTCAGCACACACATGATGGTTTACAGCCATCTCTAACTCCATTTCTGACATCCTCCTCCTCCTCAGAGGGTGCCAGACACATGTGAGATATACATATATACAATACATGCAGGCAGAACACACACACACACACACACACACACACACACACACACACGTACAAGACTTGACCTGGGTCGGGCGTTGGTGGTGCACTCCTTTAATCCCAGCACTCGGGAGGCAGAGGCAGGTGGATCTCTGTGAGTTTGAGGCCAGCCTGGTCAACAGAGCAAGTTCCAGGACAGCCTCCAAAACAATACAGAGAAATCCTGTCTCGAAAAAAACAAAACAAAACAAAACAAACATGCAAAAAAGAGTTGAATTGGTCTGAGAGATTAGGTGTACTATCTTTGCAATCCACAAACTATTTTTCTGTTTATCTGTTTGGGTCTTGGTTTTTTGGTTTTTGTTTGTTTGTTTGTTTTGAGACAGGTCATTCTGGAACTTGACCTGTAGACCAGGCCAGCCTCAAACTCAAGAGATCCTCCTGCATCTGCTTCCTGAGTACTGGAATTAAAGGCATGCACCACCACAGTGGCACATGAACTGGCATTTGTTTGTTTGTTTTTTATTTGTCAACACAAAGTTTCTCTGTGTAGCTTTGTCGACCAGGCTGGCCTTGAACTCACAGAGATCCACTTGCCTCTGCCTTCCCAGTTCTGGAATTAATGGGGTGCACCACCGCTTCCCAGCTTCATGAACTGGTTTTATCCAGGAAAAGTGAACTGAGGCCTGATAGTTTAGGGGCAGTGGGGACAACAAAGCAGAATGTGTGGGGCCCTGGCTACTGAGACTGGAAGAGATTCAGAGTTGGAGTTTTTTGTTTTGTTTTGGTTTGGTTTTTCGAGACAGGGTATCTCTGTATTGTTTTGGACTCTGTCCTGGAACTTGCTCGGTAGACCAGGCTGGTCTCGAACTTACAGAGATCCTCCTGCCTCTGCCTCCCTAGTGCTGGGATTAAAGGCGTGTGCCACCAACGCCCAGCCCCAGAGTTAGAGTTTTTTTTTTTTTTTTTTTTTTTTTTTTGGTTTTTTCGAGACAGGGTTTCTCTGTGGCTTTGGAGGCTGTCCTGGAACTCACTTTGTAGACCAGGCTGGCCTCAAACTCACAGAGATCCGCCTGCCTCTGCCTCCCGAGTGCTGGGATTAAAGGCGTGCGCCACCAACGCCCGGCCAGAGTTGGAGTTTTTAAGTGGATCTAGTTTTTCAGGGTTTCACAAGTTTCACTTAATAAAGGTTCTTCCCACATTCAGTGGAGAGACTCGTAGATTACAGGTACATATCCTGTAGTAAGGGAGGCACACTTAGAAGATTACATATGACACACCCTGTAGCAATGCTGGCAATTCACAGTAGGAGAACCTAGGGTGGGTAATCCAAACAGCAACCTCGGTTTCCATCATCTGACCCCACACTGCTATCCACCATAAAAAATTGAGTGTGCAGTAGAAAAATGTACAATCTTGATCAACAGACATTTATTGAGCTCCTGGTGTGTGCTAAGCACCAAGGCAGAACACACAGAGACATTAGATTGGATGGCAGCCTACAAGGAACTTCTGGGTGCCCTCAGAAAAGAAGTGGTAGACAGAGATGCCGGTCAACCACAGACCTTCTCCCTCTGTGGCTTCAGGAAATGGAAGGGTCCAGAAAGAGATGATATTCAAGACTTAGACTCACATGTCCATGTGTATAAGACATATGTGTAGAACCCACACAACTACAGATATGTGGGCAAAACGAAAACTGCATGTGTATTGCACATGCACAGGCTTTATGTGCAGAGTCGGAGTCTACGTGTGCATAGGACACACAGATATGGCACAGGAGCTCCATCTGCCCCAGCCAAGGCAAAGGGTTAGGGGAGGGTCTTGGGGACAGCAAGGCCTATCAAGGCTGGGGCTGGTATTGGCCCTCTGTGGCTGTGAAGAAGTCATCCAGAACGCTTCGAAGGTAGTCAAACGTGGGCCGGTCCTCTGGACGCTCCTTCCAGCACAGCATCATGAGGTGGTACAGCTCTTCTGGACAGTTGTCAGGTCGAACCATGCGGTAGCCTCGCTCCAGATTTTGAATCACTTCAGGGTTGGTCATCCCTGGAAGGTGGATGGAAGAAAGAACGTCACCACTTAGGCTTTGGAAACTTATAAAGCAAGGCAGATGCTAAATTGGATTTCTTGCTTTCTTGTCTGTCTGTCTGTCTGTCTGTCTGTCCCTCTGTCCATCCATCTATTTACTTATCTATTTTGTAGTACTTGGAGTTGAATAAAAGATTTTATGCAAGCCGGGCGTTGGTGGTGCACGCCTTTAATCCCAGCACTCGGGAGGCAGAGGCAGGCGGATCTCTGTGAGTTCGAGGCCAGGACAGCCTCCAAAGCCACAGAGAAACCCTGTCTCGAAAAACCAAAAAAAAAAAAAAAAAAAGATTTTATGCATGTCAGACAAGCACTCCATCACTGAGCTACAAACCCAGCCTATAGTTTATATGTTGAATGTCTCCCCGTGTGTTGAAATCCTGTTCCCCAACTCATGTACTAATAGGGATAAGGTAGAACCTTTATGAAGTAGGGTCTAAACCAGGTATGATAACACACATCTAATATCAGCACTTGGGAGGCAGAAGAACTTGGATCTCTGTGGTTTCAAGGCCAGCCTGGTCTACAAAGCAAGTTCCAGGGCAGTTAGAGACATTATATAGAGGGGGAAAAAAAGGAGTGGTGTCTAGCCGGGCATGGTGCCCCATGCTTTTGATCCCAGCACTCGGGAGGCAGAGGCAGGCGGATCTCTGTGAGTTCAAGACCATCCTGTTCTCCGGAGAGAGTTCCAGGACAACCTTCAAAGCAATACAGAGAAACCCTGTATCAAAAAAAAAAAGAAAGAAAGAAAGAGAGAAAGAAAAGAAAGAAAGAAAGGAAGGAAGGAAGAAAGAAAGAAAGAAAAGAAAGAGGTGGGGTCTAGCTAGACGTGGTGGTTGCACATGCCTTGAATTCCCAGCACTCAAGGTAGAGGCAGGTGGATCCCCGTGAGTTCAAGCCTATCCTGGTTTACCTAGTGAATTGCAGGTCAGTCAGGGCTACATAGGGAGACACTGCCTAAAAAGAGAGACGCAGCCAGAGGCAGTGAGAGATACGGGGATGGAAGTTAGGTCACTGTGGATGTTCTCCTGAGGAACATGCTGAGACCACAGTCCTCTTCCTCTCTTTGCTTTCTGCTATGAGGTGAGCAGTTGACTCCACCATGTGTCCTCATCAGATCTGCTCCCCACAAAAGAAAATCACTGAAATAGAATCTCTGAAACTGTAAACCTAAATGAGTCTTTGTCATCCCCCCCTTCTTGAAGACAGTCACACTATGCAACACTGGCTGGTCTGAAGTTCACTATGTAGACCAGTCTGACCTCAAAGATCTGCCTGTTTCTGCTTCTCATACTCTGGGATTAAAGGCTGGACCACCATGCCCAGAAAACTTCCTTCTTTTTATTTTCTTACTTTTATTTTTATTTATTTTGGCTGAATAAGACAAGACTTCTCTGTGTAGCCCTGGCAGACTGGCCTCAAACTCACAGAGATTTGCCTGCTTCTCCCTACCTGTGCTGGGATAAAGGTATGTGCCACCACCATGCAGCTTAAAAAAATCTTTTTTCTTTTTCTTTTTCTTTTTTTTTGGTTTTACGAGACAGGGTTTCTCTGTATTGTTTTGGAAGCTGTCGGTCCAGCCCGGCCTCAAACTCACAGAGATCCTCCTGCCTCTGCCTCCCGAGTGCTGGTATTAAAGGCGTGCGCCACCAACGCCCGGCTTAAAAAATCTTTTATTACAGCTGGGCGGTGGTGTCTCATGCCTTTGATCCCAGCACTGGGGAGGCACAGACAGGCAGATTTCTGTAAGTTCAAGCCTGGTCTACAGAGCAAGTTTCAGGACAGCCTCTAAAGGGTACAGAGAAATCCTGTCTCAAAAACCAAAAGCAATAAAGAAAAAAAAACAAAGCAAACAAAAATCTTTTATTAATTATTGCCAGTTTTGTGCGTGCTTTGCATGTGCCAACACATGGGCCAAAGCACCTATGTGAAGGCCCAAGAACAACTCTTTTCCTTTGCTTTTTGCTTGTTTGTTTTTTGAGGCAGGGATTCTCTGTAGCTTTGGAGCTTGTCCTGGCTGACCTCAAATTCACAGAGATCCACCTGGCTATGCCTCAGGAGTGCTGGGACTAAAGGCATGCCCCACCAAGCTCAGCTCAGAATTTTAATTTTTTTGTGTGTACAAGTGGTTTACGTGTATATGTATCACACGTGTGCAGTTCCCAAGGAAGTCAGAAGAGGGTATGGAATTCCTTGGAACTGGAGTTACAGAGAGCTATAAGCTGCCACGTGGTTGTTGAGAACTGAGCCCAGGTCCACTGAAGAGCAACCAGTGCTCTTAGCTACTAAGCCATCTCTTCAGTACTCCTACCCCTGAGAGAACACTTTTTTTTGAGACAGAGTTATTGTGGGATATTTGTTTATACTGTATGAAGATGTGTCACAGAAAAATCTGTCAGATACTCTATGCTTATAGGCCGAAGATGGATGCCTCAACACTGCAGAGGAACTTTGGGTGGCTGTCCAGGCAGCCATATGTCTCTGTCATTTCTACAGTTTGTGACGTTGCTTGTTTTGCACTTCCTGTTTACTCAGGCAATATTTTACCCTTCCAGGGTCTCTGATAGGGTTGAAGAGTAGATAGAATTTTTTCCTTGTTACAAAACTTGGGAAAAAAAAAAAAGAAACTTACATAAGAGATGTAAGCGGGGCGGTGGTGGTGCATGCCTTTAACACCAGCACTTGGGAGGCAGAGGCAGGCGGATCTTTATGAGTTCAAGGCCGGGCTGGACTGATACCCTCCAAAACAATACAGAGAAACCCTGTCTCGTAAAACCAAAAAAAAAAAAAAAAAAAAAAGATGTAAAGTTTTTGAGGTTAAGAAACAAAGACAGGTTGGAGAGATAGCTCAGGGGTTAAGAACACTGGCTGTTCTTCCAGAGATCCTGAGTTCAATTCCCAGCAACCACATGGTGACTCTTAACCTCTGAGCCATCTCTCCAGTCCCTAAAAAGATATTTTTAGGTTGATAATACACGTTATAGTAGAAAGTGGTTTAGGTATAAAACTCTGGACTCATCAAAAAAGAATAGATTAAAATTTTCAAATACTAATGTGCCAGATAATTGTTCTTATTGTATATAGTTTTACTGTGTTAGAATGAAAACCTTTCCTTTTTATTTAGACAAAAAGGTGGAAATGTTTCAGGGTTCTGGTTTACACTGTATGAAGATGTGCCTATGTTTTGACTCACCTGCCTAAGGCACCTGACTGGATTAATAAGGAGTTGAAAGGTCAATAGGTAGGCAGGAGAGACTAGGTAGGCTTTCCAGGGAGAGCGAGGAATGCTGGGTGAAGAGAGGTGGACTCACCAGCCAGGCACTGAGAAAATGTGTAGAATGGAAGAGAGGTAAAGAGAAATGTGGCAGAGATACTGTATCAGGACAAGAGATAAATGCTGGGCTATGAGGCAGGACAAGTCCAGAGCTGAGAAATCTTCTGGCCTCTAACAGTCTCACCGGATTCAAAGTGCCTTTACATTCCTGGGGTCAAATTTCAGCTCTCATTGCCCTGGAGCTGTGGGGAGTTTCTGCCAGCAGGGCCTCTGTGCTTCATAACTCCCTGCTCTTTTCTGTGTCATTTGCTTTCCCCAGAAGTTATCAAATTCCTTTCAGAAAATTTCCACCCCTAGACCTCGAAGTATAGCTCAGTGACAGTGCACTTGCCTGGAAATGCACAGGACTTGGGTTTGATCCCAAGTCCCTCAAAAACCAATCACATAGATGAATGCCTGAAATCCCAGCTTCTCCTGGTGAGGGGGAAGCAGGAAAATCCAGAGCTCAGGGAGCATCATCAGATTCATACAGAGTTAGATGGCCAGCCTGGGTTACATGAGACATTGTCTTAAAAAAAAAAAAAAAAAAAAGACTCCATGACAGTCTCCAAACCTAGAGAGAAACCCTGTCTCGAAAAATAAAACAAAACAAACAAACAAACAAAATGATTAAAACAGAAACTTTCAACCAAATCCTCCCCATCTTGGTTGAATGTGAGGTAAGTGCCTTCTCCAGGAGGAGGGCGTGTCTACATGGCTTCTCTCTTTAGCTGTGAAGTTTCAGTAGGAAAGGATCTGTGAACAGCTTCACTGGGTCAGACTGCTTCTCAAAGTCTCTTGTCTCACATATCAGGAAACTGAGGTTCAGAGGGATGACAGCACTTACCCAGAGTGTTGTAGAATATTTAACTATTGAAAGATGTATTACATTTGTTTATGCTGTATTTGTTTAGTTATTATGTAAAGATGTGTTGCACTTGTTTTTTTGTTTTGTTTTTTTCATTAGTTTGTTTGGTTGTTTTTTTTTGTTTGTTTGTTTTTTTGTTTTTCTCTCTGTGTAGCTTTGGAGCCTGTCCTGGAACTTGATTTGTAGACCAGGCTGGCCTCGAACTCACAGAGCCTCTGCCTCCTGAATGCTAAGATTAAAGGCGTGCGCCACCACCGCCTGGATGTGCTGCATTTGTTTCACCTGGCCTGCCTAAGTTACCCTATTGTCTAATAAAACGCTGGATGGCCAGTAGCTAGGCAGGAGAGGGATAGGCAGGGCTGGAGGCAGAGAGAAGAAGTAGGAGGAAACAAAATCTAGAACTAAGGAGAAGAGAACAAGGGAGAAAGGGAGGGACAGGCCTGGGGTCAGAAGCCAGGCAGCCCCCAGTTAGACATGGAGACAGCAAGAAAATAAGACAGACAGAAAGACAGAGAGAGAGAGAGAGAGGTGGGGGAGGGGGAGGGAGGTAAAAAGCCCTTAGGCAAAAGATAGATAACAAGAAATAGGTTAATTTAAGTTAAAAAAAGCTAGCCAGAGCCGGGTGGTGGTGGTGCACACCTTTAATACCAGCACTCGGGAGGGAGAGGCAGGCGGATCTCTGTGAGTTCGAGGCCAGGCTGGACCGACAGCCTCCAAAACAATACAGAGAAACCCTGTCTCGTAAAACCAAAAAAAAAAAAAAAAAAAAAAAAAAAAAAAAGGCTAGCCAGAAAGTAGCCAAAGCTAGGCTGAACATTCATAACGGATAAGAAATCTCTGTGTCATGATTTGGAAGCTGGTTGGTAACCCAAAAGAGAGCCTGGTACACCAGAATAATGATTAATAATTTTTTAAACATTTATTTATTTATTACATATACACCAGATTGAATTGTAGATGGTTGTGAGCCACCATGTGGTTGCTTGGAATTGAACTCAAGACCTCTGGAAGAGCAGTCAGTGTTCTTAACCTCTAAGCCATCTCTCCAGCCCCCATTAGTAATGTTTTAATGTGGCTTAAGCACTGTTCTGATCTCATATTTAAGAAACAAGGAGCCAAGCGTTGGTGGCCCACGCCTTTAATCACAGCACTAGGGAGGCAGAGGCAGGCGGATCTCTGTGAGTTCGAGGCCAGCCTGGTTTACAGAGCGAGTTCCAGGACAGCCTCTAAAACAATACAGAGAAACCCTGTCTCGAAAAACCAGAAAAAAAGAAAAGAAAAGAAACAAGGAGCTGGGCATTGGTGGTGCACACCTTTAATCCCAGCACTGGGGGTACAGAGGCAGATGGGTCTCTAAGAGTTCAAGGTCATCCTGGTCTACAGAGTAAATTCTAGGACTTTACTAATAAGTTACTCTGTAAAAAAAAAAAAAAAAAAAAAGGAAAAAGGAATGGTCTGGTAAAAGTCAAACCGAAATCTATCGGCGGCCCAGCTGGTAAGCAAAGGAACTTTTACACCCTGAGCCAGATCCACTCCTGTCACACCAGGTGGCCTGTGCCGGAACTGAGCAAGGAGCTGGAGTTTTTGAGAGATTGGGGTCTCAGAGACAGAGATGGAAGCCAGTGCTGGGAGATGAAGCATCTAATAGGGAATGCTGGAGTCATAAGCCCAAGTGGATGGCAGAGAAGCAACTAGAAACTCAGAGTTTGAGCCAGGGAAGACGTGAGTGCGGATTAGCTGCCCTTCCTTATAGCCCTCAGAGTTCCTTTCCTTAATGCTCACCTGGGTAAGGGATTCGGCCATGGGTGACAATCTCTGTCAGCAGGATCCCGAAAGACCACACATCCGATTTGATGGTGAAGGTCCCATAGTTAATGGCTTCTGGTGCTGTCCACTTGATGGGAAATTTGGCCCCTAGAGGGAGGAAAGTTAGGTCACCTGTGCATGCGTGCTCTACCGCAGGCTCTGAACCTCCTCTTTCTTCCTGCACCTACCCTCCCTGGCTGTGTACTCATTGTCCTCAATGAGACGTGCCAGGCCAAAGTCTGCAATCTTGCAGCTCAGTGTGTCAGACACCAGGATGTTGGCAGCCCGCAGGTCGCGATGGATGTAATTCTGCTCTTCAATGAATGCCATACCCTCTGCGATCTGCAGGCCAGGAATAGGTCATCAGTCTTTAGCCAACTGACCTTCAGACATACCCAGCCCTTTGTCATCCTCTTTACCTGTGCTGCCATGTCCAACAGTTTGTTGATGTTCAACTTGATGCCTGAGGGAGTCTTGAGAAAATCTACTAGGCTTCCTGTGAGCATAAGCAAGAATTGGTGACCTAAATTGCCCATGAGGAAGGCCCTAGACCCTTGTGTTCCATCTAGGATCTGGAAGCAGTGGCTGACAGCGGCGAGGAAGAATAAGGACTGGGAAAGAGTATGTGCCCACATGTGGGAGAGGGGTGCTTAGCATATGGGAAAGCCTTTTCCAGAGGGCTAAGATGGGGAGCCCGAGGAGGAGCCAAAGGTTCCTGCTTTCAGCTAAGGTAGAGCCCCAGTTCCACAGCAGCCAAAGCTCTGCACATGCCACACCTGTGTCTCCCCCCATGACATGGCTCTCTCACTCCCTATAGACATGGCTTTCTCTACCACAGATCATCTTTAGATCCTTTATACACATATCCAGACTCTAGTTTTTTTGTTTTGTTTTGTTTTGGGTTTTTTTTTGTTTTTTTGTTTTTGGTTTTTTCGAGACAGGGTTTCTCTGTGGCTTTGGAGGCTGTCCTGGAACTCGCTTGGTACTCCAGGCTGGTCTTGAACTTACAGAAATCCACCTGCCTCTGCCTCCCGAGTGCTGGGATTAAAGGCGTGCACCACCAACACCCAGCGGCACAAACCTTTAATCCCAGCACCCAGGAAGTCAGCCTGATCTATGTAGTGAGTTCTAGGGCATCCAATGCTACATAGTCTCAAAAGCCAAAAAGTAAATTAATAAAAACAAAACCCTGTAGAAGAATGGCAATCCTGGGACTGGAGAGTTGGCTCATGGTCTTAAGAGTCCTTGCTTTTCCAGAAGGCCCAAATTTGTTTCCCAGCACCCATATAACTATAGCTCCAGGGTCTGTGATGCTCTCTCCTGGTCTCCTCAGGCATCAGAATGCATGCACACACACATTCATGCATGCATATACACATGTGCACACACATAAAATTAAAACAAATTACTGCCAGTTATTGGTGGTGTGCACCTTTAACCCTAACACTTAGGAGGTACAAGCAGGTGGTCTGAGTTTAAGGTCAGTCCTATCTACAGAGAGAGCTCCAGGGCAGCCAGGACTACACAGACAAACCCTATCTCAGAAAAAAAGAGAAATAGAAAAGAAAATACCAATGACAAAACCTATTTGCCATTTCCAGAACTCATTAACCAATGAACAGTTTGTTTCCCTACCTGAAAGTGACAGGTGTTGCACTCCAAACAATCTGAACCACATAAAAACAATGCAGGACAGATAATGCTTTCTTCCGTCCTCACAGAGACCATATAGGGAAGTTGCTTTTATTAGTGCCACTATCTTTTAAATACATATATTTATTCATGTATGCCATTGCACACGCATGGTGATCAGAGGACAACTTGCTGGAGTCAGTGTTTTACCTCTGTTATGTGGACTCCAGGGATTGAACTCCTGTTTGGAAGTCTTGTCAGCAAGCACCTTTACCACCTTTACTTGCTGGCCCTAACACTATTTTACAGATCGAAAAGAACTACTTGAAGCAGAAAGAAGTCGTGTGATCAGCCCAAAGTCATGCAAGTGTACAGCACCAACTCTATCTAGGCAGTCAGACTCTTGGATCCTTAATAAATACACTGTATATTGGGGCTAGACAGATGGCTAGTCAGTTAAGATCACTGGCTGCGCCGGGTGGTGGTGGTGCACACCTTTAATCCCAGCACTCGGGAGGCAGAGGCAGGTGGATCTCTCTCTGTGAGTTCGAGATCGGCCTGGTCTACAGAGTGAGTTCCAGGACAGGCTCCAAAGCCACAGAGAAATCCTGTCTCGAAAAAAAAAATCACTGGCTGCTCTTACAAGGGACCTGGATTTAATCCCAGCAACCACATAGCGGCTCACAACCATCTGTAACTCCAGTTCCATGGTAATCCACACCCGCTTATATCCTCTGCAGGTACCAGTCACCATATACTATTTCTTGGATCAAGCATTCTGAGATCTAGGTAGGCATTGGAAGAAGGCAAAAGAAACTGCAGACCAGGGGAGATCAGAATGAATGCTCTTCCAAAGTCTGTCCCATCGAGGCCCAGGGAAGCTTCCTTAGAAACCCTCAGTAGCAGAGCAGAGGCACAAGCACATTCCTAGCCTGGGTGCAAAAGATAGTGGGACGACAACAGCGCCCTCAAGCGGCTAGACGTAGCAGGGACACCCACCGTTCTCCATGTATTCTGTGATGATGTAGATGGGCTCCTGGGTGACCACTGCATAAAGCCGGACCAGCCGCTGGTGCTGCAACTGCTTCATGAGGTTAGCTTCAGCCAGGAAGGCGTCGGGGGACATGCTCCCTTGCTTCAGACTCTTCACTGCCACCTTCGTGTGCCCGTTGTAGTATCCTGGAAATGGGTTGCAAGTGAAGGAGTTGCAGAAATCACGATCCCTGAAATAGTAGCTGCCCTGAATAGGCCAGCGTCTCACATCTTGGCGACATCTCCTCCTTTCTTCCCAATCAGTCCTGACCACCACACTCACCCATCCACACTTCCCCAAACTGGCCAGCTCCCAGCCGCTCAACCAACTTCAGTGTCTCCCTGGGAACCTCCCATTCATCCTCCCACCACGGTTTCTGGGGCTTCTGGGTCTGGCAAGGACGGCTCAACTTTGTGCACAGCCCATCAGAGGCATCTGCAATGACAAAGGAGAGAAGTAAGGCAGTCACTACTGGAGACCTTGGGTGCTCCCTCCAGCCCCTACCTCTTTCCATGTTCCGCGCAGGGGAAATAGACTGGCATGGGAGGGGAGTCTGTCCCCCAACATTAGCCTGCAGGGCCGAGGGTCAGGTACTACCGATGGTTTGAGGGTCCCTAGGAACGACTTGGGGGGAGATGGGCCGCTAGGGTGGGTACAGGTGAAAATGTTCTGCCAGTGCTCACTGGTGTAATGGCGGACCAGTTCGTGTAGGCCGGGAAAAGTGATGCGAGGGGAGATGTAGAAGCCACCGTTGTCTAGGTTACGGATCTTGTAATGTTTCACCACTTCTCCTTGGTTCTGGTCGAAGTCTCTGACCGACAGTGAAAAAGATCCTGAAGAAAGATTGGAGAGAGGAGAAGGGAGAAGAGGAGGAGGAGAGGAGAAGTTGAAGAGGAAAAAAAGAGAGGGAGAGAGACAAGGATTGCCTTGGGTAAATCAGGCGGCCACCACGCCCGCCCTTGCACTTCCTCACTGGGAGGTGACCGCCCTCAACTCTAAGCCCCGCCCACAGGCCCTGACTCTTACCCGCTGTGCTTTCACTTTCCCGGATCAGGAAGGATCCGTGCGTGTTCCCAGGCGCCAAAAGCTGCCGCTCAGCGTCCTTACGGCTCAGATTCTTGAAGAACCAGCTACATAGGGTAGAAGGAAGACCATTGGCTGTTGGTCGACTCTTTTTTTTTTTTTTTTCCAAGACAGGGTTTCCCTGTGGCTTTGGAGGCTGTCCTGGAACTCGCTTGGTAGACCAGGCTGGTCTCGAACTCACAGTGATCCGCCTGCCTCTGCCTCCCGAGTGCTGGGATTAAAGGCGTGCGCCACCAACGCCCGGCTTTGTTGGTCGACTCTTAACCTGCAGTCTTGGCTGGCCTGGAACTCAAACATCTGCCTGTCCCTGCCTCCAGAGTGCTGGCATTAAAGGGTTGCACCAACAAGCCTGGCTTATTGGTCAATTCTTCCTCCATTACTGTCAAACAAACCCCACCCCCAAGACCACGCCCTTCTCTGAGATCCCTGGATATTCTCCCGTATTCCCACGCGGTCCCCTGCTCACGGTTCAGGCTCCAGGCTGTTTGCTTTCGCCACGAAGTTGAAGGGGATGAAGCCTTCTTGGCCGGTGGTCAGGGACTGAGCCTTCCACCACTCACCGCTCCTGCACCACAGAGAGACCATCAGCATGGCCTACATAGCCACTGGGAACCCTCAGCGTCCCAGTTAAGACAGGCCACCGCTTCCTTGGTATGAGCACTCTAGTCCTTCCCACCGTATTCCAAAAGCCCTCACCTGAAGCCAGAGCCTGTCAGGGATGTAGGAGGGTTGGGGACGGACGGTCGGACAGACAGACGCACGCACGCACACAGACACACACACACACACACACACACACACACACACACACACGGCAAGGCAGATTAGAAGGATACTCACTGCTCCAGGATTCGGAGCTGTTCACCCTTCTCAAAACCAAGGTCTCCATCATGGGAGGGTTCATAGCTGTGCAGAGCGATAACCAGGTTGTCTGCAAAGACAGGAAGAGTCAAGAAGCAGCAGCCCCGGGCTGACAGGACAATGGAGTTCTAAGGGCACAGGGCAGGATGCAGACAAGGCTGAGGGTAGGTGCAGAGGGTATGGACACCAACGGCCAAGCACCCACAGGCCTTATACTTCACACCCTGCTCGATGGAGTCACCTTGCAGCGGGGAGGCTGGTGGGAGGGAGCCCTCATAGGTGACCAGTGGGTCCCGAACTTCAGAGCCATTCCGGATGGGCAGCTGTGGGGTAGGAAATGAGGCTGGGGTCATTTTTCTCTGACCCTGGCTCCCCTCACCTCTGCTCTTTCCGTTTTTCCAGCCTTCTCTCTGGATTCACCAGCTCTGTGTGCACCTGACCTTAGAAAGGTCCATTCTGCTCTCTCAATGTCTTCCTTACTGTACTCCAGGGAACATGGGTTCCCTATTATTTCCAGGACCTTTTTTTTTTTTTTTTTTTTTGGTTTTTCGAGACAGGGTTTCTCTGTGGCTTTGGAGGCTGTCCTGGAACTCACTTGGTAGTCCAGGCTGGTCTCGAACTCACAGAGATCCGCCTGCCTCTGCCTCCCGAGTGCTGGGATTAAAGGCGTGCGCCACCAACGCCCGGCCAGGACCTTTTTTTTTGAGACATGGTCTCTGTGTGCAACAGCCCTGGAACTCACTATGTAGACCAGGTTGGCCTCAAACTCACAGAGTTGTGCCTGCCTCTGCCTCCCGAGTACTGGGATTAAAGGCACACACCACCACCTGACTATTTCCGGGGCCTTTATTTATGATTCTTTTTTGTTCCTCCTGGACACACAGCCTCCCTTCCCCATTCCTCCACCCATCCCATCTTCCTCTTACCGTGGTCTTGCTATCCAGCGGGACTATGGGATAATGGCAGTTTTCACACACATCAATGTTCTCCATCCAGTCATCTTCAGGGTTTGAGCTGCAGCCACAGCCCATGATCCCTGAAGGAATGTAGAGAAGCCTGAAGGAGCTCCTCTAGGTCAGTTTCCCCAGCATCAGACATCCTAGAGTACTGCCCCAGAATTTACAGAACGCCTCAGACTGTCTGCTCAGAGGCTCCCATTGGCCATAGACAGAAGAGCCGAAATGTGGAATTCTAGTTCCTGATTTGCTTCACTCTGAGTCCTCAAGCAACAACTAAGTTCACAGGAGGCCCAGGCCCAAAGAGAGTCCCCACCCTCCCACCTGGAATGGGCAAACCGCCACAGATGCCTTTGTTAGTGTAAGTTACCCACTTCCTGCCTCCTCAGCCCTGCTAGTTCCCTGCTTTGGGGAGGATTACCTGGGGGACATCGCACACACTGTGCCAAGCCCTGGGGGAAACCTAAATTTTTCTTTCACCCTGCTCCACCAAGGAGGATGCATGTCCCTCCTCATTACAATGAAGCTGCCTAGATACTGAAGCGGAGAGACTCCTGCTCCTTGGAGTCGACCTTTGACCTCTGCCAGCCCCCGGCACCCCACCCCCACTCACAGCGCAGGCTCCTTCAGAGTGTTTCTTCTTACAAGCATTTGCTTCTCAGCAGCAAAAGGAAACCCTTCGGTGGCCCTGTTCCCTCTAACAGCTTTTGCGTGCCTGTTTGAA